TATGCATATGGATATTATCCTATCACTGACAGCATTTTACTTCAGGATAGATCTTGAAACATCCTTTGTGATGATGGATACCACGCCATCCCTCTTCAAATTGTCATTTCCAGCATAGTAGATCATATGGTTGTCTGATTCAAAATGGCCAAAACCAGTCCATTTCAGCTAATGCCTAGAATATCAATCTTTATGCGTTCCATTTCATTTTTGACAATTTCCAATTAGGAAGGTCAGGCAATCTACTTCCGCAGTGATACTGCCTTGGAAATCCAAGGAGGGGTCACTATGAGTTGGGGCCGACTCGACGGCATACAACAGCAATTTTCCTAGATTTGTACTTTGTACATCCCATGTTCCAATTATTAATGGATGTTTGTAGCTGTTTCTCATCAATTTGAGTTGTGCCACATCAGCAAATGGAGGTCTCAAAAGCTTTACTTTATCCATATCAGTAAGGTTGGTTCTACTGTGACAATGTAGCTCTTTCCCAGTTGTATTTTGAAAGCCTTCCAACCTAAGGGGCTCATCCTCCTGCACTGTATCAGACAATGTTTCTGGGATATTAATAAAGTTGCACAGTAATGTATCAGACAGTGTTTCTCTACTATTCATAAGGTTTTCCCTGGCCAAATCTTTGAGAAGTGGATGGCCTCTTCCTTCTTCCCAGTCTGTCTCAGTGTAAGCTGTGTTGAAACCTGTGCACCATGTGCAACCCTCTGGCATTTAAAACAGCGATGGCACAGTCTCCAGCCTCACAGCAACATACAAGCCACCATAGTAGGACAAATTGACAGACAAGTTTGTCTCCCTTAGCTGTTTGAAAACTCTCTGTCCTCCCCTTCCCTGGATCCCTGATGCTTCTTGCTCTGTCATCTCCCTGACTTCTCTCCACCCCCTCATCTACTTTCTTGCCTCCTGGGGGTGGGGCCTGGGTTCTTCCTCTTACCTGGATCCCTGCTGCTGCTTTCTCCAAATAGAGTAGCTTTTAAGAAAGGTTAAATGACATCAGGGCAGGATGTCCATGGCTGATATGGCTAAATGGCAGTTTCAGGAACCCAAATTCTTTCTACTTTGTGTTCCACTGTGCTTGAGAGTGGTGATCTCAGCCACAACGTTGAAGACATTCTCTGGGCCAGCATTAGAGCTGTGGGGAAGGGAAAAGGACTAGGGAAAGCATGTCTAGTATTTCAATATGCACATATCACTATTAGTAACATCCTGCTGGCCAGAATTTAGTCAAATGGCTGCACATTTTAAGGTCTGGGAAATAGGCTTTTTTTTTTTTTTTTCAATTGCCCTCTACAGGTTTCTTTTCTTTTTCTGGATGGTAAGGTACGAAGCTAAAATTTGGGTTTCTAATACTAAATGAAGGGGAGAATGGATTTTAGGAGATAAATATCTGTCTCTGCCAAAAAAAAAAATGTTCTGGATTCCATGCTAATACAGGATGTCTCCATTCCAATGGTGAAACTGGAGAACACACACAAAAAAATCAATTTTACACATATTTTCATTGACAAAAAAGTTTGCAAAGAAAAATAAAATTAGAAGAATAAAATTAATGCAATGTACTTTTTCTTTACCAATCCAAAATTTAAGTGTTTTATTTGAAGCAGCAATATCATACATTTGTATCCACTAAAAATCCATAACCATCAGACCATACAAACAGAAAATTTACTTCCTTAAAACATTTAACAACTATTGTCATTAGACAATCATTTATTTAAAATAATATCCTAAATACTTACAAAAATAAATCTAGTACTGTTTCTATTTTTCAAGTGTCAAAATCTTTGCCATAGAAAATAGAACCTTTTATAAACTAAACATTACATTTAAACTCAATATTTAATAATGCACACTATTTTCTTTTATAATTGTGCTTTACAAATTTCCAAATTACTTCCCTTCAACGCACAGTTTCACAATAGGAATGCCTGCACACAATCCATATACACATATTTTTACATAGGAATGTTTCCCATTAAATATACATACAGAGTATTTAACACAGACAGCAGAGTGACTTGAAAGCCATCCCATAGGACAGATGTGCCACTAAACAGAAATAGGCATAGATGTGGAAGTATTACCTAATATTCAAATTAGCACTCAAGCTATCAAAGATGATGCTATCTTAATGAAGGATACTCAGTTAAATGTTTCCAAACAACATTAATTCTTAGTCTACATTAAATCATTAGTTCAACAGCCTTATTCGTTGCAAAAATACAATCAACTTCAAATATTTATCAATACATTTAACTCTCAGAATAAATATCACTGTTATATGTATACAGACCTTTTATGCTAAAAAGAGAAATGAATATAAATCTTAGAGCTAATGCTCAAAATTAAAGATAATTTCCAAATTGATGTGTGGTTTTACATTATCATCACTGAGCCATTCAATTCCTTAACAGAGAGATAAATGCTGAATTTTTCCCACAGTATATGTACTCAAGTCTCCCTTATCACACAGATGCATATAAATCATGGTTCATGATGAAATATTTATAATGCTTTACCACCCACAGGGTGTCAATTTCACTACATTAACCAGATCACTTCTGATCAGTTCCTGAATTTCTGTATGATTAATCACAGTAATAGAACTTTAAATTACATTAGTCTTGTGTAAATACTTATTTATCAAATATTTTAAATTCTATTTATTAACTAGAAAAACAATGAATCAGAAAATTTGTCTTTTCTCTATTAAGGAAAACAATCTAGCCTCAGGTTCTTAATCAGAATTTGCATGAATTGTTTAGAAATTCCAAGTATAATAACTAAAAATTTGTTATGATCAATTGAACTGTGAAAATACTAATTTACTGAAATTGATGTTTCACAATAAATTCCAATAAAAGTGAGCTTGAAGAGCTTGTAAAATCTCAATTATAAGCAAGTAGTAAATACCATAGGGGCAGATATTTTCATTGACAAAATATACTGAAAATGCCACTTCAAAAATCTTAAATAGCATGCTAAAATTATTTCCAAAGGCTTATTTCATGTCATTAAAAAGTCACAAGCAAGCAGACTACAAGAGTATATGAAAATGCAAACCAACAATGTATCTGCATTAATAAAATACATTGGAATCTAAGAGGTAGTCAACAGAAGTAACCCTGATAAAACAAAATATCCTGTCAGATGCTACCTAATATCAGAGATCCAAATGGAATATGAAATTCTAGTATTTTCTAATTAAAATTTGTTTGGGGAGAGAATACAAAATCCACATAGCTAAATAATACTGTGAATGGAACAATACTCATATTTGAAAAGAAAGGCTAAGAATAAAAGTTTAGACCAGGGGTCTATGGCCAATAGGCCAAATCTGGCCTGCCATTTGCTTTTTTGTTTGCTTTTAAAAAATAAAGTTTCATTGGAACACAGCTCTACTTATTTGTTTATATTGTCTGTATCTGCTTTCACACTATAATGGCAGAGTTGATCTGCAAGAGAGATCATATGGCCCACAAATCCTAAAAAATTTACTCTCTTGCTCTTTATAGAAAATCTGCTAACTCCTGGTCCAGACACACTACTGATGGGTATGTACTTGTTCAACAGCACTGTCAAGAGCTAACTATGGATATCACAACAAAAGGTATAGGAGGATGCTAGTTAAGTCACAACTAATATTTATATCTGAAATAATCCTTATATTTTTTTTCTTTTTATTTTTGTGCTCTAACACCAAAGAGTATTCTTAAGTTAGTATAAGAAGATTTAGTGCAGCTCTGTCCAACAGAACTTTCCGCAATGATAGAAATGCTCTGTATCTGCACCGTCCAATACAGTCATCACTACATGTAGCTACTGAGCATGTTGAAATGTGACTACTGAGAATCTGAAATGTGGCTGTATAACCAAGAAACTGAATTTTTAATTTTAATTGTTTCATGTGGTTTACAGTTATTGTTTTGAACAGTACGGATTTAGCACAACTAAATTAAAATTCCAAAATGGTGACTTTTAAACGATGACCAAAGTAAATTAGAGAGTAACACCTTTACAAGAGCTTTTGACAGAAATAAACTGAATACAACAGACTCAGCTCAAGACAGACTCATTAACTGGTAAACAAAATCAAACTGATTCCAAGTTGTGTCATCACTGCGTCATTCTTTTTAATGAAGAGATAAATCTCTATACTATGATGTGTCTGTCTGTTCAGCAGAAGCCCTGATAATCTGCAGTGCTTGAAAGCAATCATTGAAATTGCTCATTATTACATGAACAAGAATGTGGACTTTTAACACAAATTATATTTTTTAGCTTGATGCTCATCAGAAAGTCACATCTTAAAAAAGACATTTGTTTCCACATTCTTAACATTTCAACCAAGCTGTAAATAAGCCCTTGTTTACAGTAGGTACATATGAGAACCATGACTTCTTTCACTCTGAAAATTTTCCAGTTACTTTTATTATGTTAAAGTCATTTCAACACTCAAGCCTTCCAAATTTCTATCTTCAATGCCATAATAAAATACACTCACATTTAATGACAGAATTAGGACAGAAGTAAAAAGTTGTATATATCAAGTCAAAGAAATCACCCTTGTATATAACTCCCTCTGTGCCTACGTCAAGGCTATGTATATATGGACCAGAAAATAATAATAATAATAATAATAACAATAAATGTTTTACCGTTAAATATTCCTGATTACATATCACAAATTAACCAAATTACTGGAACCGAAAACATTAACATATACAAATTCATTGTGAAAGTACAATAGTCTCAAAAGACAAATATGTTTAAGTTGTGTGCCTAATTATACTTTCCAAATATTCAAATGTGTTCCCCAAGAGAGATAACTAATTCTACACATTGTTTTCAAAGTCAGCTGGCAAAATTAATTTCATGCATTTTGATTTAAAAAGCTGATATTCAGCATTATAAATTTTCTTTTCAACCTGGTACTTAGTTGAAAGTTATAAAATATTTTAAGGGCACTTCTGTTTATGTTTTCCTTTGCAGTTTAATCAGATGTTGCAGCAGGAACTTTGACAGAGAGAGTTCTTCTGGTGTTGGTGATATGCCGTTGCTGTGCTAAGAAAGACCGTGCAGGGGGACATGCCCCAGCGTCCTTGCAAGCACCACTACTACTCACAAGTCTAGATTCCATTCCTAGTTTCTGGAATGCCAGACTCTGGAAAAATAAAAAAAGTAAATAACATGACTAAATGTTTATACAGCCATTAAAGTTTGCAAAGTGCTTTTCACCTACATAAAGTCACTTATTCCTCAAAACAATACTGTAAGGCTGGGGGTTACCTCAAATTTATAGGAAAAAGTAAGGGTTGAGAAGCAAATTAATCTGTATACAGTAGTGCTAATAAGAAGAAAACAAAGGAGTAAAACTTAATTTCTCTATTGTGATCCAGTAAATTTGAAATCATTAAAAACAGTAGCTTAAAATAATGTGCTAGAGAGTTAAGTTTAACTGTAACAACAGGGAAAACTCTGAAAACAAATTTTTGTATTTGCACCATCACTCCACCAGCTATGACAAGACACAGCACAACAGAGAAGCCTAAATCAGATGCTCTCATCCTGAAGTCCCTGAAATAACACTAACATTAATGAGAATTTGTTAAAATTACTAATTCTTGGACTCTACCAAATCAGAAGTTCTATACGTAAGATCCAGCAATATGTGTTTTAACAAGTCTTCTCATGCATACTAAAGTTTGAGAACCACTGGCAATGATCCATTTTACTGAAGTCTACCTACATATTGATGCATAGCAAATTACTGTAGTTGCAGTTTTTGGGTCGCTTAGTAAAAGAAGTCATTACTTCTCTCACATTAGATCACACAGTAACACAATTTTACTGAACTTTCACTAGAACTAGCTCAGTACACAGAATACAGTAGGTGTTCAATACCTGCTGAAACAATGAATAATGCATTGTTTCATTCTATTATCTTGACTGATTCACATATCAAAAGGTTATAGAAGAACGAAGAAAATAATATCTGGTTCCCGATCTTAGATTTAAATGACTAACTCATGAGGAAAGGTTCTGAAAACATCTCACACAGAGCTAATGTCCTTCAAAGTCCTGCTAAACTAAACTAGACTTTAACAAATAGAGAAGGGAGGAAAAAAACAGAAAGGACAGCACAGAGAAAAAACACAGTGGCCTGAAAGAACAAGGTATGTTTGAGGAACAGTAATTAATTCTATGTAGGTAAACCACAGGGTTCATGTGGGGGTCTGTAAAATGATTTTCCTTCAAATTAAATAAACAGCAGCTGAAGTAGGTAACAGATGCCTATCTATTGTAGCTGTTGTTGTTGTTATGTGCTGTCGAGTCGGACCCGACTCATAGCGACCCCTCCTTGGGTTTCTGATGCAGTATCACTATGGAAGTAGATTGCCCCATCTCCCTTCCAAGGAGTGGCTGGTGGGTTTGAACTTCCAGCCTCTGGTTAGTAGTCAAGTGCCTTTGTTGTTTTTGTTATGTGCTGTCGAGTTGGACCTGACTCAAAGTGACCTCTCCTTGGATTTCTGAGGCATTATCACTACAGAAGTAGATTGCCCAACCTTCCTTCTGAGGAGTGGCTGGTGGGTTTGAACTGCCAGCCTTCTGGTTAGCAGTCAAATGCCTTAGGCATTACGCTACCAGAGCTCCTTATACGCATTAAACGCTACACTTGAAAACACCTCCTGATACAAAAGATGACAAAATAAAATACATTTCAATATATTTTATACTATTTTCTCTTTGGAGGTAGGACAAATAGACAGTACTGAAGTATATTCCTTGGATTAAAAAAAGACAAAAACACAGTAAAGGACAAAATTAGAGATTTTACAGGATATTAAATTCTGAGGATCAGAAGCACTTGATTCTGCATTACACACACTCACATTTCTTCAAAAACCTTTTACGGATCACAAATTAAATGTTTCCGTTCAAATAAGCAATTTAAAAAATAATTATGAAAATGAATTTGCTTTGTAAACTTTCACCCAAATCACAATAAAAATGAAAATAAATAAATATGAAATGTTATGCCTGTACTTCATGAGTACCAACTAAAGATGATTAATACATTAATAAGTCATAAAATCGATTTAGCAACAAACAATCCAATTAAAAAATGGGCAGAAGACATGAATAGACACTTCACCAAGGAGGATATTCAAGTGGCCAACAAACATATGAAGACATGCTCACGATCATTAGCTATTAGAGAGATGCAAATCAAAACAACAATGAGATACCATCTTGCTCCAGCACTAGTATCAAAGTTCAACAAGACAGAAAATAACAAATGCTGGCGAGGTTGTGGAGAGATTGGGACTCTCATACACTGCTGGTGGGACTGTAAAATGGTACAACCATTGTGGAAAGCAGTATGGCGATTCCTTCAAAAGTTGGAAATACAAATACCATTTGACCCAGCCATCCCATTACTAGGTATATACCCTAAAGAAGTGAGAGCCATAACAAGAACAGATATATGCACGCCGATGTTCATCGCAGCACTATTTACAATAGCCAAAACTTGGAAACAACCTAGATGTCCAACAACTGAGGAATGGATAACCAAACTTTGGTACATTCACACAATGGAATACTATGCAATGCTAAAGAATAATGTAGAATCTGCAAAACACCGCATAACGTGGATGAACTTGGAGGACATTATGCTGAGCGAAATAAGTCAGTCACAAAAGGACAAATATTGTATTAGTCCGTTATTGTGAAAGTTAAGGAAAGGTTTATATATTGGAGGACATTTTCTTTGTTGGTTACCAGGGGTGGGAGGGAAGGGGAGGGAATGCTGTTAGATAGATAGAGATAAATATTGATTTGGGTGAAGAGAAGGGCAATGTACCAAATGTGAGTGACCAATATGGCAGCATTGAGGATGAGAAAGACAGAGAGAGTTACATGGGCAGTACAAACAACAAATATGAACCCCTTTGTAAATACAATACTGAGTTGTCAATGAAAGCAAACATGGGTATAGGGACGGATAGATGGGTGAACAAGCTAAACAATTATGTATGTCTAAATGGAGAGTGTATCCAAGATCATATACAGGGTTGGCAGACAATGGGCCTCTCTAAGAGTATGAAGGGATGGACACTGGGAGGAGGTGACTATGGGGAGGAAGTGGGAGGGGAGCTGCTGCATTGTAAATTTTGGTCAATGACATGAGACAAAGTATATGTGAACTGCTGTATGAAAAGTGAATTTACTCTGTAAATCTTCACCCAAATCCTAATTAAAAAAAAAAAAAAATCGATTTAGCAGATTATGATGACCATACAAAAAATACAGGAAGAAGAAAATATCTGAGTGCAATGCCCACAACTGGGGTAACTTTTGTCTCAGTCACACAAACAAGCATGTATATGCACTTATTTATGAAATAAAACATAGTTCTTTCTATGATTCTTGGTCAAAAAGTCTGATGAACACTGTTCTAGACATCTAATCATTAGCTGAATTTTAACTCACCTTATTATACCAGGCAGATACAATGAGTTTTTCTTCATAATCACGAAACTTTGCTACTTTACATTCACTCTAGAAAAAGATATGAGGACTGGTAAAAATCATAGAAATCACTCCAAACTATTAAAAATGGTATCATTTCATAATTATGCTCATCATTGAGACAGAATCCAAAGAGTGAATTTGTGATATGCAAAAACAGTCAAAATGTAAACGGAATCATGACAAATGCATGCAACAAGATCATAAGAAAAGAAAAGGATATATGACTAGTAGGGCAAAATAATTTTCAAAATAGAAACAAGAGTTTCTTATGCTAACGTCCCCTATGTTTAGAGAAAAAGGTAACTACTACCTTAGGTAACCAAACAGTGGAGCTGCATTTATGTAGGATTCAACACTTAAAAGAAAGGAGATACAGTAAAAAATAACCAGGAAAATCTTTTAAAATTCTCCACAGAACATGGCACAAATTTTCATCTCTTAAGTTGTGGTGTAGCAAGTTACATGGTATGGCTTTTCTAGCCATAGTCTTATGACTCCCCCTTTGTCCTGAGTAGCTGATTGTTAATGTCATCCACCTGGTGTATTTCTGTTGAAGTGGCAGGAAACAATCTTCTAGGAAGTTTGCTCTCTGTCAGGTGTATAGATTATTGATGTTGGGATTGGTTAGTTTGGCCACTCTGCCAGGCTCAAAAGGAGCCCTCCTAGAGGCAGAAGAAATTTCTCACTGCTGGCTGAGAGATGTGCTGCTGAGAGAGAGAAAGAGAGAGAGAGAGAGAGAGAGAGAGAGAGAGAGAGACATGCTGAGAGAGAGACTGCCAGCTACTGAGTGAGATGGCCGGCTGCAAGAGACCGAGCATGTTCCTGAACTTGAATTGTAGCCTGTTGCTTCCGTAATAAACCCCATAATCTGTGAGTTCTTTGTTGCCACTGCAGCAAATTACTGAACCCAGCAGAGAGGTGGCAGTTGCTGCAGGAAGGACAGTTGGTGTCAAGGTTAGTAAGAAGGCTGGAGGGTCGTGGCATGCTTGGTCTCTTAAGAATAGGCCTTGGGCTGCTGATGGTGATTCTGACTTCATCTTGTATAGTCAGAGGTCAGAAGATGCAGCCCCCTTGCCCCTTTAAGCATAAGTCATGGTGGACTGTGTACTAGGTTTGCTGTGGTCACACCTTTCTGCCACCCTAAAGTCTGACATCCATTTCTTAATTACTCTAATACAGTTAATTTTTTAATCTGATGGATCACCAGACACAGTGGGCTTATATTTGAAAATATGTTATCTTGAACTTGAAACACCTGAATTCTATTTTCAGGCAAAGCAAGATGTTCTTGATATTCAAAGTACACAGGGACCAAGCCCAACAGAGAAGGTGAGAATCCTCCCAGCTCACAACCACTCCAGACACAGACTCTCAGAGATGGCAGACAAAATGACCTCTGTTCCTGGCATATCCTTTGTGTAGTGTGCAGAGACAAATACACATAAATTAAATGCTAATATGCTGGGATTTAACTGAAGTTTTATCCTCAGAGCCCTATGGTTAGATTCACCATTTGGTTGTTACACTTGCATTTCAAATATCAACAAGAGTGTGTATTCTCATTTTGTCTTTCACGGTTGTTGTTGTTAGGTGTCATCCAGTTGGTTCTGACTCATAATGATCCTACATACAAGAGAATGAAACATCGCCCAGCCCTGTGCCATCCTCATGTTAGTTGCTATTCTTGAGCCCATTGTTGCAGCCACTGTGTCTAAACATCTCACTGAGGGTTTTCCTCTTTTTTGCTGACATTCTATTTTACCAAGCTTTATATTCTTCTCCAGGGATTGGTCCCTCCTGATAACATGATGAACTCTTGCCATCCTAGCTTCTAAGGAGCATTCTGGCTGTACTTCCAAGACAGATCGGTTCATTCTTCCTGCAGTCCATAGCATATTCAATAATCTTCCCCAACACCACAATTCAAATGCATCAATTCTTCTTCAGTCTTCTTTATTCATTGTCCAGCTTTCACATGCATATGAGGTGAATGAAAAATACCATGGCTTGGGTGAGGTACACCTTAGTCTTCAAAGTGACATATTTGCTTTTTAGCACTTTGAAAGTCTTTTGCAGCACATATGGCCAGTGCAATATGTCATCTGATTTCTTGATTGTTGCTTCCATGGGTGTTGACTGTGGATATAAGTAAAATGAAATCCTTGACAACTTCAATCTTGTCTCCATCTATGATATTGCTTACTGGTCCAACTGTGAGGACTTCTGTTTCTTTACACTGACGTATAATCCATATTGAAGGCAGTAGTCTTTGATCTTTATCACTAAGTTCTTCAAGTCCTCTTCACTACCAGCAAGCAATGTCATGTTAGCTACATATTGCAGGTTGTTCATAAGTCTTCCTCCAATCCTGATGCCACAGTATTTTTCATATAGTCCAGCCTCTTGGATTATTTGCTCAGCATACAGATTGAGTAAGTGTGGTGAAAGGATACAACACTGATTTTAAACATGCAGTATACCCTTTTTCTGCTTGAATGACTGCCTCTTGGCAAATATACAGGTTCCTCATAAGCATCATTAAGTGTTCTGGAATTCCCATTCTTCACAATGTTATCCATAACTTGTTATGATTCACAAAGTCAAATGCCTTGCACAGTCAATAAAACACAGGTAATCATCTTTCTGGTATTTGCTTTCAGCCAAGATCCATCTGATGTCAGCAATATATCCCCCATTCCACGTCCTCTTCTGAATCCAGCTCTTCTGAATCAAACTGTTTTTGAATCCTCTTCAGCAAAAGTTCATTTGCATATGATATTAATGATATCAGTTGATAATTTCTGCATTCTGTTGGATCACATTTCTTTGGAATGGGCACAAATATGCATCTCTTCCAGTTGGTTGGCCAGGTGGCTATCTTCCCAATTTCTTGGCACAGAGAAATGAGTGCTTCCAGTGTTGCATCCATTTGCTAAAAATCTCAATAGGTAGTCGTTTAATTCCTGAAGCCTTGCTTTTTGCTAATGCTTTTAGCATAGCTTGGACTTCTTCCTTCAATACCATCAGTTCCTGATCACATGCTACCTCCTGAAATGGATGAATGTTGCCCAATTCTTTTTTGGTTCAGTGACTCTGTGTATTCATTCCATCTTCTTTTGATGCTTCCTTCACTGTTCAATATTTTGCCCATGGAATTTTTCAGTGTTACAACTCAAGGCTTGAATTTTTCTTTAATTATTTCAGCCTGAGAAATTCCATGCATGTTTTTTGCTTTTGATTTTCTAACTCGCGACCTATCCACATCTCATTATAATACTTTGTGTTCTTGAGCCACCCTTTTCATTGGGAAATAAATAATCAGGGAAATTTAGATCTCAGAGATTATCCATTCCAAGTCTCCTTATTTTACAGATGAAAAGACATAAGAGCAGAGAGAAGAATGAAAAATTTATCAATAAACATGAAACCCTGGTCTCTTGATTTATATAATATTTAATGCTGGATACACAGAGACAGATAAGACAAATATAAGTCCTCAAAACACCCCAGCAAATGCCAATGAGTAAAACAGTGGTATTACAGGCTGAATCAATGAGTTCAAAGTACATGGAATCATATGGACAGACAACCAACTTTGCCTAAGGAATAAAGGGAAAGCTTTAGAGGAAGTGATGTTTGAGTTGGATCTTGAAGAACTAATACTATTTCAGCAGAAGGATGTCCCTATCTAATTTTTTTTTTTTTTTTTAATATATGACATGACTTGGACAAGCACTTACAATTTTTTTTAAATATATCTAATGTATAGGAGTTTGGTGTATACTCTGGATGCATAAGAGAGGGTGTTAAAGTTTTTAAACAAAAACATTTCTATGACTATCTCTACTGGCTCAGAAATTTTGATATATATCTATCTATATGTCTATAGGTGCTCTGGTGGCATACTGCCTAAGGCATTTGACTGCTAACCAGGAAGCCGGTGGTTCAAACCCACCAGCCACTCCTCAGAAGACCAGGCAATCTACCTCCGTAGAGGTATGACCTCGGAAACCCAAGGAGGGGTCACTATGAGTTGGGATCATCTTGGCAGTGAGTTTATACATAAACACACACACAAACACATATATAATTTATATGTATAAAAAACAGTGTTGTTGTTGTTGTTAAGTGCCGTCGAGTCATTTCTGACTCATAGCGACCCCATGCACAGCAGAACGAAACACTGCCCGATCCCATGCCAGCCCCACAATCACTGCTATACTTGAGCCCATCATTGCAGCCACCATGTCAATCCATCTCGTTGAAGACCTCCCCCTCTTTCATCGACCCT